GTCATGTGAACTGTCACCCAGAAGAGTCAGGACAGGAGGAAAGGGGATGAATGGTGGTTTCAGAGAAGTGAGGCAGGACGCAGATGGAGGTTTGAGGAAGTTTGAGGCAGCGTGCGAACGGCGGTGGTGGTGGTGGGGTTCCACCCAAGGCTGCTGTTCTAGCTGGGTAGGCTCTGGGCTGGGAGGGGATAGGCAGAGGGAAAACACAGAGAAAGACTTGGCGGGGGAATCATGGGAGGACCAGGGGCTGGAGTGGGGGACAAGACAAAATGGCAGTAGTTAAGATAACTACAAACCAAGAACAAGGTGAATGAGAACAGTAGTGCCCGTGAGTGGAATGAGGAACTGGGAAGGGGTCTTTCCGGGAAGAGAAGGGGGTGGCTGAAGCATTTGGTAAGTGGCAGCCCACAGGGAGCAGCTGCAGCCCAAGCCTGGATGAGGGGATGGGTGACAGAGGAGCTGAGGGTTCCAGAAGAATGGACAATGGTGTTGTCCAGGGAAGTGAGTCGAGTAGGACCCCCGGGGTAGGAGAGGGTGCACCTGGACCACTCCAGGAAGGGTAGGTGTGTGCACAGGAGGCTGGAGCAGCAGCAGTGCCTTGTTCCTACAAGGAACACGGAGCAGGAGGGAGGAGGAGGCCAGGAACAGCCTCGGGATGGTTGGAACCCCTGAAGCAGGTGGGCCAGGCCAAGCCTCTCCCTGCCACAGACCCAGGCCCGCCAGCCCAGCCTCTGCCCTGATGAGGAAGGGAAGCCAGCCCTGCCTCCAGCGGGAGCCAGCCCAAGGCCCAGAGCCTTGAGGTGACTTTCTCAAGATCACACAGCCCATCTGTAGCCCTGGAGCTCCCCAGCACCATGCCTGCAGCAATGACACAGTCCCCCATCCCTAGGAGGTTAGGGTGGTCTCTCTCATTCCCAGGCCATCCAACAGTCTGTCCCTGCCTAGAGACAGGCATGATCTGACAGACAGGGAAATAGACTGGGGGCTACACCAATGTCATCTGGCCACCAAGTGGCAGAAAACTAGCCCAGAACCCAAACTCTGGCCTCTGAGGACCAAGTCTCAAATGCCCAGCACTGTATGAGCAACAGAAGTACCCAAATTGCCCACACCATCACCTTGGAGCTGGCTTGGTGCCCCAGATTATGGACATGGGACACTGTGGGGGATGGGAAGGGAGCAGCCTGCTTTTTGGGAGGCGTCTCTGGATTCAGAGTTCAGGGCCCACACTCAAGGAGTCCCCATGAAGCAGGTCCACCTGAGCTCCTGAAAAGTCCTGCCGCTGCCTCCCACCCCAGGGGAGCAGCCCTTGGTCTAGAGCCAAGAAGCCGAGCTGGCACCTCGACCCGGCTACTAACAGAGCAGTCACCCAAGAATCCTATCTCAGGCATCTTCCACATGAGGAAACCAAGCCCTAGAGTCATGAGAGGCTCAGCCAGGGTCACCGACTGCTCAGCCAGATTCCTCCCAGTCTAGGAGGACGGATCCCAAGGATACACTTGCCCAAAGTTATCACAGCAGCTCTGCCTGCTACCTGGGCAAGTGTGACCCCAAGCAGTGTCCCTCCCAGCTGCTGCTGGAGTCTGGGTGAGCTCCTAGGACAGCAGGCCCCCAGTGGGTGCTGGCAGCTTGGCCCCTGATCCTTCAATCCCTGCCTCCAACAATATTCAAGTGAGAGGTCCATAAAAAGGCAGTGCTCAAGGTAACCCCCAAACTCTACCTCTTGTTCCCCAGGTGCCCGGCTCCTCACTCTGCCCCTCGTGCTTTCCATCTGCATGTATGAAGCATCTACTATGTGCTCTGCACCTGGCTAGGTCCTGGAGGATCCAAATCTACCTCCAGGAAGTGAGCCATATTGAGGATGGAGTCGGGTTCGACTTGGCAGCCTGATCCATCCAGAAGGGTCCTGGGACTTTTTGATCCCTTCTTTAAAGTCAGCACCCATCTACCAGCAGCCCCCAGACTTGTCTGTCTGGCCCTGGCCTGGATGCCTCCAGGAAAGGACAATCTCTGGGCCTGGATCACTTCCCCACCACAATCCACACATGTCACCTAGAGGCCCAGAGAAGTGAAGCTGTACTCTCAAGATCACACAGCAACTAGGTGGCTGAGTTTGCCTGGGTGTACCCAACACAAGGGGTCACCAGCTTCCTCCC